TGCTGTCTCTCTCTTGGCGGTCAGCTTGCTGTCTATTTAAACTGCAGCCTCCCAGGGTGGGGTCCGTGACTGCTGTTTGCAGTGCTCCCTTGCATAGGGTATGCGACAGCACCATGGAAACTAGCACCATTCCAAAATAAGTTGTAGACCCCTTAAGTAATGCTCACTTTACGGAACCATTTTCAGAGTAGCTGTGTTATAAATAGATCTTATGTTACAAGCTACAATAAAGGATGTGCATTAGCAGCTACTTAAACTTAGCTATAGTCCAGAAATCCAAGTAGCAAGTAACCTATATTCTAGTATCGCACAAAAGATGGGGAACTGACTCCTTGGAAGGCTTAACTACAGCAGCCTAAAGCTATTCCACTGGTATACCATACCAGCTCTACTCGCCGCTTTCTTCTGCGTATCTGTTCTACAATACATATTTGGGGGCAAGGAGCAGAGATTTAATGTCTAACAATGGTTATACCTCTGTGTCTTATAAAGGCCTTGGTACTAAGTCAGCACCTGTCAAAGGCAGTACAACTGTATGTTAGCCATATACAAATGCGAGGTTTAGGATTATGTTTGAACTGGAATACTAAAACATTCTGGGTTTGCTTTTTTTAATCTTCTGCTGATGATTGCTGGCAATTCTGCTGCTTATACCCACTAAACTCTCATATGGGGAGTCTCTTTTTTTGTGCATGGTGATTGCGAAGGTGAGTGGTGTATATGTGGGAGCTTGGAGGGACTTTATCGTGACAGATGCAAGACCATAGTAAAAAGTTCTACACTAATTAGACTGAGAAACATACAACAAGATATAGCCTGGCTTGCTACTGCAAGTGTTAAGTTCGACATACAAGTTAATAGCGATTGCAATTTCCTACCTGTCATTGTTAGTCTTTACAAAGAGCTGGAATGTTTCTGCCATAGCTGCCACTTTTTCAGAGCTCAAATGGAATATATGCTATATAATCTCTCTGATCTTTGGCAACTTGTTTAAATAACACCTTTCATTAATGGATACAAGGGGTGATTTTAAGTGATAAAGCAATCTCTTAATAATATCCCAGGTTCAGAATCTTATTGCATGCCCTGGAGTTATAAGTAGTATTTACATCAGGGAAACTGCACTGAGGATGCTTAAACAGTTGCAAGATCATTTTCAGGCCTAGGAACATACATTATTACAGTGCTGGCTGATTAAATGTCTTCAGAAAGGGAGCATTTTAATTAAAATCTCTTTTTGATTTTTTTCTGATGGCCTAACTAGGCGATGCACAGAAAATTAAGGAAAAAAAAATACTGGAGTTGATTTCAGGTCTGTTTCCCTAGGTAGGAGCTGGTTAGTAGTTAATCTTGACTGCATTAGAGCTAAAGCAACTTAGAGGGCTTGAAAATTTTGTGGCTAATGCTGCTTTTAATTGGTTCTGAAGGCACCCATTTGGGTTCAACACAGCTTTATCTTTCTAACAAATGTTCTCATTTAAAAACAGAGAGTATCCCCATTGAGCAATATCTTTAGTGAAATGAATATAGCAAGTAAAATAAGTGCATCTTTAGCCTGCATCTTAATCCTGAATTTCTTGAGGAAGCATCAATCCAGATAATGCAAATCCATACTAATGCAGGAAAACCACAGGAAGAAAAAAACCCTTCAGTCGCTACTCACGTCTGGATAATAGTCCATGGTGGGCACCAGGCGCTCTATCAAAGCCTCCAGTGATCCAGAAACAAGGTTCCCATCCTGATAAACAGGGTCTACACACCTCTCTCCCATATCTGGCTGCACTTGCCCACTACAACTGGAACCAAGCATGCTGGAAAATATTGGCGTCTGGGGCATAGTTTCCTGCAGAAGCAGCAAAAAGAAGAGAGAGGGTTAAGCTTTCTTTCAGGATGTCTTACGTGTGGGTTTTACAGAGGCATACATTTAAACACAATTACATATTTGACTGAACACAGCCTGGGCATTCGAGCTAAGTTCTGAATCCAAGCAGCCACACATCTGTAAGCTAGCTTTGGCATTTGAAATGCACTTTATGTCACTAAGGCTGTAGATGTAGAAGCTGTAAGAATTTTCTTCACTGTATTTGATTTCTCCTTTCTCTCCAGTTTTCCCCTGGCTCTTTACATATAAAACTATACGGGGATCAAAATGCAAAATGCTTTCTGAATTTCAAAGATAATGAAGCAGTGCCTTACTGAACAAACAAAAAATACTGTGATTTAATGTCCCTCTTTTTACTCTTTTTTGAAGTCAGATCCTTGGCCAAAATACTTTTCATGACAAATTCTTCACCACTTCTGTAGTGAGATGTAGTCCAGGTCTTGACAGATGTGCATCTTCTCCTGCACATAGATATCACTGGAAACAGTGGGGGACATACTATCTGAACAAAATTGCCTTTTTTTTTGGTACCTGAAACCATGAACTAGGTGGAACTGAATGCTGTGACATATACTGTAATATACAACTCTAATAACAGTCTCTTTGGAGATTTTTGCTTGGGAAACAAACCTGCTGTCGCAACACAAAAACCACTCGAAGGTTTGGGGTTTCCACCTCCTCCCCCTTGGCCACAAGCTGTATCAGTTTACCCTAGTTACCAACTAGGAGTAAACTGTGGGGTTTATTGTTTGTTTGTCTTAAACCGGCTACAGCTTAAATATATGCAGAAGGCTAAACAAAACATCCTGCTACTGTATGTAAAGGTTGAAAATACTATTCAGCATCAGTATCAAAACAGTTCCCCCTGGCTGCTGAAACAGTTAAGACTGTTTAAAAGGCAAAGTGAAAAGAAGGCAGCATTAACTCTTTAGCTGCTGTCTCGCCATCTATGAAACACATGATACTGACACACTCTGAAAAGCACTTGTAGATAAAAGGATTAGGCCATTACCAGTATCTTTAGACTGACAGCTGTTCCTAAGCCCTGTCTTTCTCTTTAGCAATTTTTCAAAAACTAGTTTAAGAACTGAAAACCTTAAATGTTATAAGGGTGTTTTATTTGTTTTATCTTTTTTTTTTAGGTAGCACTTGAAACAATTGCAGAGCAAAACTTTTAATGCAAGGCACATTCTTCCTATCAAACCCTCCAAAGTGATCGTTCATGTTTACAACCTGGGATATGAAACATTTTTCTGTTTTTAAGCTCAGATGAATGCTAGGTGTGTTGGTAATGAAAAAATACCAGTATTAACAATATTCGTTCATCAAGGTGACAGATTTACTTAAATATCAGGCTGATAAGTAGAACTGTTTTGTGGCTTTAACCAGAAGACCTTTATGTATTCGTACGTGATACAGATATAAGGGAAGTGTAATTCCCTGTAAATTAAAATACAGTGGCTGTTTAATAGCAACCAGGGAGATGACTCTGAGGGGTGGAGTTCCGTCTCAGAAGTTCAGGACAGAGTCAAATAAAACAGAAAATGCAGGATCTAATGGCATAACGAAAGAAATGAAAAACTACTATTCTGCATAAACAGGCATTAAGGTTACCCAGTATTTCAGAGTTATCCATTAGGCCTAAGCTTTGCAGTACACAACAATCTGATAAATCACTGGAGCGTATGATGAAGCAACCAGCTTTGCTATGCATACTATGTAACTCGCTAGTAATTTGGTTTTTTTCCCTTTTAAGGTCCATGGCAATAGAGCTGAAAGCTACTTCTCAGGCTGACAGGCTGTGATGGGCATTTCTGACTAATAATATGAAGTTGCACAGGGTTTTAAGGGAAGGTAACCATCAACTAAGCATCCACTGAAAAGATGCTGTAGGAGAAAACGTATTCCGTTTTTGCCATCAAGTGTTTTAAACTCCTTTAAGATGTTCATTGTTGAATCAGTTCTGTTTTTTTCGGGAGCAGCCTGTAACGATCCTCGCCGGGTTACAGAGGCGGGGAGCCGAGCCCAGCTCTCCCCGCGGGGCTGGCTGCTGCCACCAGCACCCTTTTTCCCGCGGTGCCAGCTCCAGCCTCCCCGGAATAGCCAGGGGACCCGATCGGCCGGTCCCCCGGCGCTGAGGGGGAGGCAGCCCCCTCGGGGAGGGCAGTTAATACCCCTGTGAGCAGCCACAGCGCTCTCGGCCCCTGTAACCCACACGTTTCT